AAAAATTTTTTAATTTTTGAAACAAAAAAAAAAATTATTAATATCAAGAGTAACAAAGTTCTCTACTAATATTATGCTTTCCTTGTCTTAATTGTATTTTTGAGATTATAATGTCAGTACATTCCTCCCTTCCCTTTCCTCCCTCCAAATTCTCCCATATACTCTTCTGTGTTCAAATTCATGGCCCTTTTTTCACTAATTGTCATTGCATGTATGTATATATGCAACATACCTTGTTATTGTTATTGCATATATGTATGCATGTGTGTGTGTGTGTGTATATATATATATATATACATATATATATACATATACATATATATATATATATATATAGTAGTCCTACATATAATGTCTTCAGCCCATACATTACTTGTTGTTGACCATCTGGCACTGAACACCCAACTGTGCTCTTCCCTGGTAAGGCCCACCTCTCCCACTCCCAGCTCTCCTCAGGTGCCTGCAGCTCTTTGTGTGGGGGTGAGGCTTCATGGGCATTCCCCATCCACTCTGGCATGTCCACTGGTGTTGTCCTTGTTCAGTGCATATTTGGGCTGTCATAAGGACAAGATTTTATTGTTGTAGTTGGGTATTACTAAGAGATACAATCTCATAGATCCTCTTTTCTCTTAAAAACCTCTCACACAAAGACCTTGCTTCTCCAGCTTTTGGTTTTAGGTGTGGTTTGGGTTTTTTTGTTTGTTTGTTTGTTTGTTTTATATTTTTTTATTTTTGGGGGGGAGTGTTGTTGGAGACCCCTATCTTCAATTTCATGGTTCTCTTGCCTCAGCCTCCCAAGTGCTAGGATCATAGGAGCAAATTAGCATACCCAGCTGCTTCTCTGTTCTAGTATGTTATCATAATATCTGAAAAATAATTAAAGTCATCAAAGTCAAGCTCACAAAAAATGTGTCTATAATCATTAGATACAAAGCTTTAGAAGGATTTATCCTAAATAGATGAAATAATCTTAAAATTAGAAGTTGAAATTAAAAATAAGTAAAAAATATCTTCGTTTTTTACAATGAGGACAGCTTAATCTTCAATACACATATAATCCTTCTTGACTCTAAAGGAAAAGTGTGTTCACAGGTTCTCTAAGGAAATTATTTAACAAACTCAATTTTGAATCTTAAAAACAGAGCTAAACAGAAACCTCACTCTAAGACCTCTGTGAGCACAGGGCACAGGTCCTCGACCTCTAACTGGAAAATGTTTCTTTAAAACAGTATTAAGGAGCTGGTTGGTGGTGGCACAAGCCTTTAATCCCAGCGCTTGGGACAGAGGCAGGCAGACCTCTGTGAGTTCAAGGACAGCCTAGTCTACAGAGTGAGTTCCAGGACAGTCAAGGATACACAGAGAAACCCTGTCTCAAAACACCAGTGCAAGGGGGGGGGGGGGGGAAGGAGTATTAATGAAAAAGGAGGTATTAGGGAGTGAAATGCTTTCATGTCCAGCCACCTAGATAATACACCAAGTGTCTAAAGAGAAAGAAAGCTCGAATGACACTGTTTACATTTCTAGAAATTTCTATGACTTGATTATACTTAATCATGATTGACTTAATGATTGTCAGAACACAGTCCAAGAATGGAGTTGTGTGAGAACTCTGAGTGCTTATGAGGAAACAAAAGTCTCATGAGCTCACTTTCTTTAAAACATGAAATGGCTTTTGGGATGTGCGTTCATGCTTCTCCCAGGTATAGCGAACAGGAGTAAGTTTACTTCAGATTATTCACTACAAGTGGCTATTGTTATTTGTTTGAACACCTCCATGGAAAATCATGTTTTTCTACATGCAGCTTGTCTTTGTGATTGCTCACTTTGCTCATGTGGTTTCTTTTAGCCCTCAGAGTACAAACTGTCTGATGCACTAAAGAGAGTTGGCTTTTCATGAGACTCTAGTCTACCTCATTTATTGGTCCCATTCCTCCATGTCCTACTACCTCTAGAGCAGTGAAAACTATAAAGCTTAAATTAGTTCATAAAGGCAGGGAAGTGACACCAGATAAGTCATAGCAGTCCTCTGTGGTGCTTCTTTGCTTGAAATTCCTTTTCCCTCCTTCTAGGCCAGATGCAGAGTCACCAAATCCTCAAGTGTTACAGTATGTTCAGTAAATGGCACATGTAGTGTTAACAAGTAAATAGTGAGAAAATGGAGATAAACACCCTGACACAGCAAGCAACTTTAACATTTGAAAGTATTTTTAGTTAGCTAAAGTACTTACTTTTACAAATAACTATAAAATGACCCTCCAGAGTAACTGGAAAAATAATAATGTCATCAGAATGTATAAGGTAGCACTACCACTAACAGCCAAAAGAGGAGAAATAAAGTATTTCAGACTAAAATGGATAAATAAAATAAAACCTACTAAGATATCAGTAAAGAGAATAAATGAAATACAGCTCCTTGAAATCATATTGATGTATCTCACAAATATCTTCTGGAAAATACGACAGACACAATAGACTGTGTGTGTGTGTGTGTGTGTGTGTGTGTGTGTGTGTGTGTGTGTGTGTGTGTCATATGGTTGATTTGTGTATCCTAAATAAAAATAGACAAAAATAATGATGCTTTGCAGAAAGCAGTGGATATGTAGGTCCGGATACAAGTTACCCTCACCTCATGGAAGGGAGGCAATGTCACTGGAAAAGGAGCATGAGGTCATAGAAAGCTGGTAATAGCTTCTTGACTTTGACACCCATTTCCAGATACATTTACCGTATAAAGAGTCAGTGAGCTGTATACTTTCCACTTTTGTGCATCTCTCATTAAATGTATTCTTTGCATAAATAGTAATTAGAACTTTCATACTTTTATTTTTATCGAGAGAAGATCTTGCTATGCTCTATGCCACATCACCCTACTGCAGCTTCCTGACTGCTGGGATTATAGGCGTGTACCATGACAGAAATAGCACTTTCTAAATAAACAACATATTAGTTGTGGAACTTATTTATTCCTACATTGAACCACGAGGATTTCCTGATAGCTCTCAAGTACCACACAGATGCATTAATTTTAGATTATGCAAAATAAAAACTATGCTGGACCTGTACTATCTATGTGCAGTAACTGCTGGCACCATTTCACAACTGCAGTTCAACTGTTTTAACCACAGCCAGTCAACATCAGGAAGTTCACAGCCTATAAGAAAAGACCCTTTGTCACTACTGTCATCAGTGTTGAAAAAAAAAAGAAAATGCACAATTAACAATATTTTGGGGGCAAAGACCTCTCCATTATGTAGCTCTGGGTTCCTGGAACTTGCTATGTAACCAGGTTGGCCTCAATCTCACAGACACCCACCTGCCTCTGCCTCCTGACTGGGATTAAAGATGTGCACCACCACAACCAGTCAAAATTAACAGTTTTCAAAGTCTTCAATTTCCACTGGGATTAGCCTTCAAAACAGTATGATCAATACTTTGAAGGACCATATCTCCTCTTCTGAATAACAAGCTGCTAGGTTATTTTAAACCTTCACCTCTAATCCCAGATTCTGCTATATTACATACTGACTAAACAAGCAAGAGTCATTGTAATGCACTCTCTAATCTTCAAAAGAAACAAGCAATAAGGAACTCTCTGTGACCTGAAATCAAAAGATTTAGTCTTCTGGAAGAAAAAAGAAATGGTGGGGAGGCATGAAGGAATGAAAGGGGGAAGAAGAGGGAGAGAGGGAGGGAGAGGGAACTAAAGAAAGGAGGCAGAGAGGGAAGACAGGCAGGAAAGGGGGTGGTTGAATAACAATTAGGCCTTAGATAAAAGCTCACAAATATTGATCCTTGGATTCCTATTTGATAGCTAAAAAACCAATCCATTTTTCATTGGCTTTTGAACATCATTTTCAGAAGACCTGAAATAGGAGAATCTTTAAAATGCTCTGCACATACCCCCCCCCAAAATAGAATCTTTAGGGAAAAAAAAAAGTCAATGACTCTTGAATAAAACAAATGAAAAATAAGGTAAACAGCTCTATCCAACACAAAAGAGGACCGGTTTTCTTAAATCACTTTAGCAAATTTCTTTCTGAATATACTTCTTGGTTTGAATTTTCATTACAATATTATCCCTAAGGTTTGGCCTTAAATAAACAAATTTCAATTCAAACCCTTACAGCATTTTTGTAGGAAAGTGCTGAAATAGGGACCAATTTTAGAGTCTTCCTTACTGCATTAGCTATTTATTTGGCAAATTTCCATCAAAAATAAATGAAAATCAAATGTGAACTAATTATATAATTAGATGCTACTATTGCTCCTTACAGAGGAAGGTTCCTCTCCTCCCGTGTGCATGGTAAGACATTTTAGACTTCCCTGAATATTTTATAATAAATTTGAGTCATAGGTTCTAAGTTCAAGTGACTTATTTCACTTTTGTCTTAGGAATAAGTAACCTGTAAACAACTTCTTTAAAATGTTTTAAAATCTCTTAATAACTAAATGAAACAGAATCTAACTTTTTAATGTTTCAAGACATCATAAGAATATATTGCTTTTTCCCCAATTATGTTTTATAATCTAATAAAGTATTAGGTGAAAGCATGATTTGATGGTCAAATAAGTTTAGTGAACAGTATTATGATGTAATCATATTTAGGTTCTGATAATTATTACAATAAATCAATCTATTTAACCTTTCTTAAAACAACTTATCCAAACTATTCGACTAAACAAATTTAGGCATTAATAGCGCTTACTGTCCTGTAGTTTTCTGTTTGGAGATACTCTAGAATATACTATACTATTGGAGAAATATATTTTTTTCTGAGGACATATGGCCACAGTCATATTAAGTGAGGGAAATCACCTATTCCTTTCCATCAACCTCTAAGTTATCCTTTTTGAAATAACTTATGGCAGAAATACTGAACTTTAACCTAACAGTTTTCCTCCCTGCAACATATCATTCCAAGGGCAGAATTTTAATTCATACTCTTCAATATACTACGGATAACAGATAATATTTAGTCTATGTAGATCAGCTTACTTACGTCTGGGGCTCCTTTTCATTTTGTTGTTTTTGCTGGGGCTGAAGAACGTTATTTACCAGTTCAGTGATCCCACTAAAGGGAAACCACCTGTTTAAATAAGCAAATAATGTGACTGAAAAAAACAAAAGAATAACAATGTGGATTCAATGTTTTTTTTATTCAAATAATAGTAAATTAAACACACACACACACAAGCACAAAAGCTACAGCCAATGAAAATATGCGCTCCAAGTATCACCAGGCAATCAGAAAGTAGGGAAATTAATTGAAGACTTAACTAGTCCACAAGCAGGCAGCAAAATCCTACATCCAGTCACTACATGGATGAAGTAAGAAGCTGCAGGCAACTGTCTTACAAGCCAGAGTCAGAAAGCAGAAGACACACTAGCTGCAGCCTATCCAGTATTAGTGACAGCTAATACCATCCAAGTGCAGAAAGCAGAGGTAAGAAGTCAGCTCTACTGCACTCAGAGAACATTTACTTACTGTGTCAGCTGTGGTTTGTGTTCTTCTTTGATCCTAAAAAAGTAAGTTTGCACAACTGAGTGCACTGAACTAAGCAGCAATTTCTACCTATATATTTGTGGTTATATATAATGGACATGAAAATTAAGATAATTACACAGAAAAATTTAGTACTGCACCACAAAAAAACTGAGCATTTCAGTCATTTTTATACAAAGGGGGAGAAAGCTAAGGTGGATCATTAGTTTTGTTTTGTTTTGTTTGTAGCTAGGGACTGAGCAAAGGGCCACACACTGCTCAGCAGTCACAGTTCTACTGACCTACATCCTCAGTCCAGAGTAAACTGTTCTTCCACATCTCTCTCTCTCTCTCTCTCTCTCTCTCTCTCTCTGGCTTTTTTGAGACAGTGAGACAGGGTTTCTCTCTGTAGCCCTGGCTGCCCTAGAGCTCACTCTGTAGACCGGGCTGGCCTCGAACACACAGAGATCTGCCTGCCTCTGCCTTCTGCATGCTGGGATTAAAGGTGTGTGCCATCACCTCCTGGCTAACTCTATTGCTCTTTAAGGCAATGTTTTAGTGACAATTTTTTTTCATACTTTTATTTTAAGGTACCATAGTAAATACAGTACTAGTAACTATAAATATATAATTTCTATTTTACTTTTTTTTAGTTTGGTTTTTAAATAAATTAAAGGCATGTTTTCAAATAAAACATGGAATTTTGTGAGTGAATTTTGAACACTTTACAAATCAATTTATTTATGCCTAAAACAGTAGATAACGGTATGTAGAGAGGCTAATATAGTCAATGTTTCATAAACATTGCTAATTAAATACTGTATATATTACATTTCAAATATTCATGTAAACATAAATTCTTCATATAACTATAAAATAATGAAAGTTAATTTAAACAAATACTGTGTAGGTAACTGCAATCAAATTAAGTGCTTCACTTTCAATTTTGCAGGGTACAACAGTCATCCAAAAATAAAAATAAAAGTTACTTTCTGAGGTATGATTTCATATAATCACAACACCAGTCAGGAACTGATTCATAAGCAGACAGTTCTTAGTGGACGTGACGTGAGTAACCAGACATGCTCAACAACCCTCCCACTGCATGTGGCCCCCTTAGTGACTCACCCTTGGGGTTGTTAACTGTCCATATTAGTAACTGTCACCTTATTAAAGTCAAACCATTCACTGCATAGACTTAGATCGGCAGGGTCTTTTCACAATTTTCAGGAAATGAAGAGGAGAATAGACCAATATACAGCAGTAGGTATGAAAATGTAAGAAGACTGACTATTTAAGAAAAGACTGAGAAGGATCTTACACAGGGTAGTGAAGACTGGTAAAACTTTGTATTAATGGCTAAGAACTGTTTTAAGAAATGCATCTACTTTCTCCAAAGACCAAAAATTGGTAACTAAAATTTACACAAAAACCTGGAATTTTTCAGTACAAAATTCCATCAATGATGTAAGTTGAATCTTCTCTTTAAATCAAGTTTGTTAGTGTTATAGTGTGTAATGGTTCATCATATCAACTGAACTGAATTCAGCAGCACTACTAAATTGGTGAGGCCCATCTCAGGAGGTTTCTGTGAGAGCATTCCAGAGACACTTTACGAAAGGTGGAAGACTACCCTGACTGTGAACAAAACCATACAGCACACAGAGGGCACAGAGGAAGAAAAGAAGAGAGAGCCCATGAGCACAGGCCTGCTCTCTCTCTCCCTCTGTGCTTCCCATCCTCCATACTGTAAGCAGCCTCTTCGACACAATGGCAGTGTCAGGGTCAGCAACACAGCCAGCTGACTTTAAACAAAACGCTATGGAAAAGGTCACTGGGAGCCAGGAGCACAGACTGTCAGAATGGAGAGTCAGCCAGAGCCTAGCAAGCTCTGGAAGTGAGAACAGAAGACTTCTGAAGCTGAGGGTCTCAATGGGCACCCTGGGGACAAGTGCTGGGAAAGGCAGCACACTGTAACATTGCCTGGGCACACTGCAGGAGAGTGTGAAACCTGCACTGCAGAAATTGTGGCAGTCTCTCAGCACTACCCCAGGAAGAGACCTCCCAACCACAATGTAACACCAGCAGGCCAGCCTTCCATGCTCCCTCATGGCCTCAACTGCAGAAAGGCCTACGTGTGACCCCAAAACACCTAGACGGTTGTAAGTGGCAGATCAGAAGGAGGAGCTCAGACTGGGAAATTCTGGCTGAAAGTAAACCTCTTACCCAGGAAATCCTTCTAACTGGGAAAGACACATTAACTTATCTGAATTACTGAAACAAGCAAGCTCCGCCCCACCTAAAGAGAATAATGCAAAAATCAATTCAAGAAAACAGGCAAACCATACCACCCCAATTAGAAAGAGATACTAAGACCTTCTATTTCATTTTATTGCTTGTTTATATTTTCTACTAGACTTTAATTGTACAGTTGTGTTTTAGCTTCCATCTTGGATGAAAAGGCTTTTATGCTTGTCCTTTCTGCTGCTACACCTGCTCAGCAAGGTTTTCTCTGTTTCTCAATCTGACCCAGACACTTTCCTCCTCATTCTTTCTTGACTCACTCTTTTCTGATGCTAATTTCCTCAATTAATTATTTAAATATTAATACCCTTATTACTACAGAACTGTAAAACTACACTTTTCCTATTCAGGATAGTGTGGCTATTTCTGAAACTGATTGGGATGAAGGAAAGCAAAGGAAACAGATGTCTTCATTCCAAATAACACTGGGACTACTATAAAGTCATTATATTACATGCTACAGTCACCCCCCAAAAACAGCAGAGGAGCACATAAATGCAAGTGAAGACAAGTCACCAAAAGGACCCATGTGTAATAAATCAAAGAAAAGGATTAAGAAAAGGAAGGGAAGGACTGTTAGGACATCACCTCAAGGACCCCTGTTACTGTGATAATGTCTATATAAGCAATGGCCTCACTGTTCCTAAGCATTCACTCTAAAGAAAAAAACGGCACAACTAAGTTAAAAAATTATGTGAAACAGGAAAAAAATGTGTTGAGAGAGCAAAAGATTAAAAATCAGCCGTTATTATTAAAGTTTAAGGCCTGAACTAGCTGGATGAGGTCCAGTAATGCCCTGAGCAGGAAGAACCTGCTTGCTGTACTACATTCTTTCCCCACTCACTAGAGATACAGTTGCTAGGAAACTGGCCCATCCCCCTAGGGAGAGACACCAGATCATTAATGGTCTGGGGACCTTCCTATAGCCAATCAATTCAAAATGTAGCATTTTGACCAATAGAAGCTTGCCAGGCAGGAATCACCCCTGCCTTGGGCATGCCGAGAGGGACTACAATCTTTAAATCACCCAACTAATCTGAACACAGGGCTCTGGGCTCACACCACTTCGGTGGGGGGGGTGTGAGCCCGAGCTGCAGCTTGTAATTTGTAATAAAAAGATCCTCACGTGGTTTGCAACAGACTCGGCTCCTGGTAGTGGTCTTTTGGGGCATCGCAATTCGAGCACAACAGTGTGAAAGTGGCGTTCTTGTCCACTGTCAGCATACCTATGTAACTATGATCCTAGTTTGCTTTCAGCGCTGTGGAAAATACCCTGCCCAGAAGTAACCTGGGGAGGAAAGGGTCTGCCTCATCCCACAGGTCTCAGTCTAGCTTAATGGGTGGTCAGAACTCAAGGCACAACAGGAACCGGAGGCAGAACTGCAGCAGAGGCCTCTGTGGGGGAGGGCTGCTGCTTCCTGGCTTGTTCCTCGGGGCTTGCTCAGCCTGCTTTCTTACACAACCCAGGACCACCTGCAGAGGGATGGCACCAGAGGTGGATCTTCCCACAGAGGTCATTAACCATGAAAATGGACTCACAGACTTGCCTATAGGCTAATGTGATGGAGGCAATTCTTCAACTGAGATGCCCTCATTCCAGATGATCCTAGCTTATTTCAACTTCACAAAAAAAAAAAAAAAAGAACAAAAGAAAGAGGAAAAAGAACCAGCACAGTTAATAATTGTGATAACACATATAAAACAGGTAGCTATAAAATTAATAGATAATGGAACTGCTTCGCAAAACTCACATTTAATGAAGTATTATTACATACTGTATCAAAACCATATATACAAAAGCATTAAACATGAATAACATTGCCAAGTGTGGTGGTGCACGCCTGTAATCCCAGCACTCAGGGAGGCAGAGGCCGGTAGATATCTCTAAGTGCAAGGCCAGTCTGGTCTACACAGTGAGTCCAGGACAGCCAGGGCTACACAGAAACAAAACAAAACAAAACCTCTGTCTAAAAAAACCAAATAATAATAATAATAAATTACATCATGCAAATCATCAAGAAAGAGTTTCACAGCAACAAAGGAATTAAATCATTACCATTATTAGCAATTCCTAAAAAGTGTTCATGTTGACTATGAGGACATCATTAACTTTTCTAAAGTAAGATGGCTAAGTCCAGGCACACTGTTAAAAAGAGTTTTTCATCTACAATTCTGTCAACTTGTTTGTAGTATCAAAAACAAAATTTGTGCCATAACTTGCCAGTGAAAACTGACTTAGAGATATAGTATTTTTCATGGATTCAACTACTCATTTAAAGGAGTTAAACATGTATCTTTCAGGTGAAAATCAACTTACAATGTTTCAAATCTCAACAGTATCACAAATGAAACTGAAATTATGGTAAACTCAAATTAAGGAAGATAGCTTTATGCATTTTGACATGTTTGCTAAACATAATCCTGTGAACAGTGAAATTATGTAGCCTTGATTTTCAGTCTGATCCAATATTTTGAAACAGATTTCAAACTTTTCAGAAAAATATTTTAGCATATTTTCTACTCTCTCTTTACTTGACATAATTTTGACACCTGCCAGTTTTCAGAGTGAACAGAGTTTCAGTTTGATATTTAACTTGAAAAAAATGTTATTTATGTCTCTTTACTAGACATTTATAAGACCTATCTCCCAGAAACAAATATCCCTGGCTTCACAATCACAATTCTGTCATCTTCTGGCAGCATCCACATTTGTGAACAACTATTTACAAGAA